GGAGGTAATGTAGGTCCTGTTGCACTACAGCCATAGGCGAGTTGAACTTCTTGAATATCAATCGCACTTAACGTTAGACGTTGTCCGATCACAACACCAGGTTGAAGTGGCACAATTGTATCTTGACCGTTTACAGAAAACGCGTCACGAGGATAATGCATGATTGAACCATAATCATAGGGTGTATTTTGTGTGTCTACTTGTGCAGTGCTATATTTTTGAAAGTTGTATTCCAGACCTATGTGATCACAGAACAGGCCAATTGTTTTATGGAGTATTCGAAAGAGCACTGAACGAGAAGAGTTTACCTGGTTCGATGTTCTGAGTGATAACTTGAATATAGTTGTCACGATCAGGACGCGATTGTTCATGATAGAAACCTATTAGGCGAAAAAGAGAACAATAAGTCGAATGGATAATGAAACAAGTGATAATTTATTGATCTTCCGTTTAGAAACTAGAATTGTTCTACTTTTCTTTTTTGATTTGATAGCAAGAATGTGGAACTCGAAAGAATATATTCTTATATTTGATGCTTATAAATAGTTCCAACATTGAATCCCTTGCACTCGAAAACAAATTGTCTTTCAATTATCTTTTGAAGACTATGAACAATGCTCTCGGAGAGTCACGATGGTGTAATGTTTAAAAGAATTGTGTTTAACGGCTGTTTGATCACATAAAAATCATCTTATAGTACTTCATCATGAAGTCTGAAACATCGCAATGCTATCCAATCATTATAAACTTTTTGAACGATACTCTTTCACGATTACTACTGGGTAGTGAAAGCTTTTGTGTGTTGCAATGAAATTTCGATTAATACAGCGCCGTGAAGCATAGATTCAACGTGGTCGGACAGATGGTAACTTCTCGACAATGATCACTTCTTTCTTGTTCTGAGGAAAAAGAAATGAAGCCTTCGATTAAAAAGAAAATTTGAAGTTCTTGTAAATGAATCATCCCTTTCTTCTTCGTTTTACTCGTTCTAGATCAATCAGTTGATTGAGTTCTATTTTGTGCCATCCATATCTTAAGGAAGGATCAGAGCTGGAAACAAAGTGGTAGACTTATACCAGTTTCTCTAGCACGTAGGTAGACCGATTTGGTGCAATGTGGACTGGTATTTGACCACTACACGATTAGGAACGTGACATCACTTTTGATATCATTTCTATGAAACGTTTTAATACTTAAAGATTTTCCTTCTTGCTAAATTATCAAATACATAAAATCGATTGTTTTCTATGTTACAAGAGAAATGGACTATTAAATCATAATCAAAGCATACTCCAAATCGTAATATGTACCGCAGGGTGACGTGGAAAGGGGAAGCGAGACTTCAGCCATAATTTGTTGTACTTAAGGGAGATTAACTCTACCATTATTGCTCAGTTATATTATCGGCTAATGAAAAAGTTCATGGGTGTTTTTTCATCAACACAAGCCTAGTTCACGAAAATAATGATTTTCTATCAAATTTGATAAAAGTTTTCGAAGTGCACGAACTTTACTCTGTAATTAGTTTCTCGAAATATTCTAGTTGCTTTTTTACTTTGAAGATAAAGAAACGTGATTGGTTGAATTTTAAGAAGAGTGAAATCTGATCAGCCGATGATTGACTAATAAAACTTCTCTATCCTTGGTATTTAGCCGATTACATATCTCCTTTTACAAGATGAAAATTCAACTAGAAAATTTCAAGAAGTCAATTACAAATTTGGATTTCTTGATTTCGAGAACTTTAAAGTCAAATTTTATTTGGAATGATTATTTTCGTGAAACAGAATTTTCTTGATGAAAATAATCAAACACGCGAACTTTTCTTTTAGGTGATAATCATAACTGATCGGGAAAAAAGTTTCCCTTCTGCACTTGTACTTCACGGTACTTCAAATTATGTTTGAAGTAGATGAAGTCCTACCTTTTTCCCATTAGTATGTGTCCCTAAAATTTTACCGGCATCGCGCTAGTAACCATCAGTAATTTACTGTTACCAAGTTGAAGACATAAGACGAGTGAGTGAGTCGACGGATGAGTTAGGCTGAAGACAAGATTATCACATACTTACTCTTACAGAAATCAACCCACATCTCACCGTCTATGTACCCAACGATCAATGCGACAACAGATTCTCATCTACACGTATCTTCAAATAGCGAAGCTAAATGAGAGATGCTTATGAATTCTGACCACCCATGATCATCACAAGGAATATTCCTTAAATAGAATTTGTATTCAACGTACCTATAGCATGTAAAAATTCGTGCATGATGGTTCCTACATAAATGCAACCGGGGATTTCCAGAGTCACTGTTCGAGGTCCCCTCACACTTGGATGATAACCAATCTAAAGTTTCCAAAGACATGCACGAATTCAACGTTTGTTTGATGTCGTAGAAAACTTACATCGGATGAGCAACCACTTCCCGTTTCGATGAGAACATAAGTTGGATCTGACGATTGACGTTCTCGAAACTGAATGCATTGTTGATTGTTTACGGCCACTAATCTTTCCAATTGTCGCATGGCACGGATTATGGTTGCTTGATCTGAGGCTCCTATAAGAACAATAACAAACATCTTATTAAGACACATACAACGATGATCGAGATGAGAATATTTCAACAATTCTAATCCCCTCAATAGATTCATTAGTACTGAGTCAACATCGATCTAATATGTTGTGGCAAGACATACCAAATCCTGATTGGATCTCGTATGGGACAATACCATTTGGCCAACGAACATTGTTCCCGCGCACCAATACACCACGCTAGAATAGAAGTATATAGAAATAATTCATGCATCGTTCAGATTACAATTATCATGAGCAACTTACTAGGTCTTTGGAAAGTTTTATATCACCTTCGAACAAGTCTCCTTCAACAAAAAAAAACAAGTTATCATGCGTATACAGGCGAGCACTCATGATTGAATAGTATATTCGACTCATCCTTCTTCATAGCAATAAGTAAGTCAATAACTAGTCATTATATAGAAATACTTTTATTCATATTTCGTAAGCAAACGGAATTAACCAGCCAAACACTAAACAAATAATTAGTTACCAAGTTACATGCATTCTCATAGGCATTTTTGTTATTTTATTGAAAAATTGTTTGATGAATTCTTACTTGATTGTTCTGGATTTCTAGGTCTCGACTCGGTTGGTACTGCATGTATATAAGTGCAGATAATAATGATCAGAACAGTGATCCAGGCGAAATTGTACGATGGCATCATGTATTTCAGATTAGATCCAGAACACGGAACGTTCTTCGATTGTAACCGGTATTATATTCGTGATCGAAGTAGAGCACAATGGCAGAGAGGTTCTAGAAAATTGT